CTCACCCCCTCCCGCCCCTCGCCCCGCCCCGCGGCCGCCCGCCCCGCGCCAGCCCTGCGAGTCTTCGTCTCAGTGAGCTGGGTCGTGAGCTGGGTGCGCTGGCGAACCGCAGCCCCAGCTGTGCGGGAGACTGCGGTGAGGAGATTTGAGGTTCTGAGGCCAATCTAGGAGGCGAGGGGAGAGAGAGAGAGACCAAGACAAGAGGAAGAGAGAGAGCGAGCAGAGAGCGCGAGCGCGGGACCCTGCTGGAGAAGAAGAACGCAGAGCCGCGGCCCGGGCGCGGCGGCCTCCGCCCTCACCTGGGTGCTGCTGAGCAGCCCCGCCCACTCCGCCCGAGCAGCGCCGCCTCCCGCGAGGCCCCGCCCAGGGATCCGGGCAGCCCCGCCCCCCGAGAGGCCCCGCCCAGGGACCCGGGCAGCCCCGCCCCCCGAGAGGCCCCGCCCAGGGACCCGGGCAGCCCCGCCCCCCGAGAGGCCCCGCCCAGGAACCCGGGAAGTCCCGCCCTCACCACGCCCACTCCGCGCGGCCCCGCCCCGGGCCCCGCCCTCGGGACGCCTCCGTCGGTCACCACCGTCTGTCTGGTCGACCTGCAGCCGCCCCCCGCGGTCGGACGGACCAGAGCCGGTGGCTCGTGCCTGTCGTCCCAGCCGCTCAGAGGGCTGGGAGCGGGGGACCGCGGTTCGAAGCCAGTCTAGGCAGGAGAGTCCGGAGACTCACATCAGCAAGGGGGCCGAGGGTGCTGCGTGCCTCTCCCTAGGCACCGGGCGGGCAGCTGGACATCCTTCCTGACAGTGCATGTGCGCGCATGGCTTTGGGGGTGGTTCTCACATGGACTCCGGGATAGCCATGGCTGCTGTCCTGCACTGAGTGGGTGCCGGCCGCATCGGTCCTGGGGCCCCCAGCCCCACAGAGGCGTCCTGGCAGTGAGCCAGCAGCCTATTCTGGCTCTGCTTGTTTCTATCTTACTTTGTAAGTAGGGTCGGAGACTGAACTGTCACCAATAAGCTGGGCACCGGTGGCTCTCGCCTGTCATCCTAGCTACTCAGGAGGCTGAGGTCTGAGGATTGTGGTTCAAAGCCAGCCCGGGCAGGAAAGGCTGTGAGACTCTTATCTCCAATAAACCACTAGAAAACCGGAAGTGGCGCTGTGGCTCAAGTGGAGCTGAGGGACAGCGCCCAGGCCCCGAGTTCTTGGTACCGTATCACACAAAGGCCTGTGGTCAGAGGAAGGCCCGGCCCAGCGCTGCCAGGGCCCAGGGCTCCTCCCCACGGCAGGTGTGGCCCACACCAGTTGTTTTCTGGCCAGATCCAGCAAGCCCACAGCCGGCTGTGCGCCTGAACAATGAGGAAGCACCTGCAGTGTCTGTCAGCCGGCCCCGCCCTCAGCAAGGCTTCGGGGAGCCCCACTTCGCTATTCTGCAACCTCTGTGTTCCTGTGAATTGTAATGTGTGATCTGCAAAGGAGCATTACCAATTAAGATTGGATAAAAGAAACTGCTCCCTGATGGCTCATGGTTATCAAGTCAAAGTAGTAGTACTTGATGAATTAAGGCTAATGAAAATGCACTTGATAAATTTATTCCCATGCTGGGAATTAAACCCAAGGCCTTGCGCATGACAGGCAGGGACCCCACCACCTAAGCTACACCATTAACTCGTGTGTGTGCCAGCCCTAGTGCTTGGTCTGTGGGCCTGGGCCCTGTCCCTCAGCTCTTCAGCTCAAGGCAAGTGCTTTACCACTTGAGCCACAGCATCATTTCCAGTTTTCTGACGGTTCATTGGAGATAAGATCTCACAGACTTTCCTGCCCTGGATGGCTTTGATACAGGATCCTCAGATCTCAGCCTCCTGAGCAGCGGGGCTTACAGGCCGGGCTTGCATGTTCCATCTCCCTGCAGTCTTGTGAACTCACTGTGGAGTGTGGGTCAGCCCGCTCTTCAGGCGGGACCTGCCTCATCAGGATTCCTCCTCAGAATTTCCCCGGCTTACCCTCCCACCTGTCGCCTTGGAGGGCCAGAGAGATCCGCTTGACCTCAGGCCTCACAGGCTGGGCTTGAGCCCCTGCCATGGTTACCTACGCACATTGTCGCTCTAGCTCACAGCCTGTGGCTTCACCCAGAACGGCCACCAAACCAGCAGCCACGCTGGGAAACTGTGACTTTTTCAGAGAGGGTGATTTATTTTTGTTATAAAGATGGTATATAGAGGGGTTACTGTGGCGTAAGTCATGTGCACTTCGTTGGGGACGATGCCACCCCTCCCTCCACCTCCCCACCGGTCCCACCCACAGCTGTGGATATTCATTTTCCACATAGTGTCCAGTGAGTTAACTTTTATTCTGTCGGTCATGGGGCCTGAACTCTGGGCCTGGGCGCTGTCCCTGTGCTCTTCAGCTCAAGGCCAGTGCTCTACCACTTGAGCCACAGCACCACTTCCGGTTTTCTGGTGGTTTATTGGAGATAAGAATTTCATGGACTTTCCTGCCCAGGCTGGCTTTGAACTGTGATCCTCAGATCTCAGCCTCCTGAGTAGCTAGGATGACAGGCGTGAGCCACTGGTGCCTGGCTTAAACTTTGTTTTTACAACAATGGAAGAGAACATCTTAAACTTTTGAGAAAACAAAACCAAAGCCAAAGAGAAACATAATGGATAAGAGGGGACCATGGGGGCTGGGAAGGTGGCTCAGTGGTAGAGCGCTTGCCTTGCATGCCTGAGGCCCTGGGTTCGATTCCTTGGTACCACATAAGCAAAAAGAAAAAAAGCTGGAAGTGTCGCTGTGTCTCAAGTGGTAGAGCGCTAGCCTTGAGCTGAAGAGCTGAGGGACAGCGCCCAGGCC